TGGAGAAAGCTGCGGTTATCGGCAGTAGTCGCAATCTTTTCCGTCTAATTAGGAATATAGGCATCAGGAAAGTAGGCGTGGGTGAGATAGTTAAGGAATCCAATGCACACTGATTCACGATCAGCAACACCGTTTTGATCTATGGGCTGAAGACTTCAAGGCTCAGTTCAACTGGCCCCCATCGACATCTGATCTTTCATGCTCCACCTTGACTGGGATAATATTGCCGGTTGATGCTAGTCCTCCATCTGAAATGGAGATTACCCGAGAAATAAGTTATCTCAAACGGCATAAGGCTTCCGGCCTGGATGGGCTGTCCCCATCGGTTTTCAAGGATGGAGATTCAGCCTTGGTTTTGGAGTTCATAAAACTCCAGGGCTCAGTATGGGAGAGGGAAGAGGTTCCAGCTGAATGTTATGAGTCGGTAATCATACCGATTTACAAGAAAGGCGACAGGTCCTCCTGTGAAAACCACCGAGGAATTAGTTTAATCAACATTGCCTCTAAACTTCTCGCCGGGATCATACTACGACGACTGTCTACCGCACACGAACGGTTCACGCGTGAGAACCAGGCTGGTTTCAGACCCGGTCGAGGTTGTATCGACCATATCTTCACTCTCCGCCAAATTCTGGAGCATCGACATTCCTTTCGTATATTTTTCTCGATTTGAAAGTGGACTTCGACTCAATCGATCGCTCTAAACTCTGGTGCTGCATTTCCCTGAACGGTGTGTCCGAGAAGTTAATTTCAATATTACGATCGCTTTATACCAATAGCTGAAGTCGAGTCCGGGCTTACGGCACTTTTTCGCCCGAGTTCACCACAGAAATTGGTGTTCGTCAGGGTTGCCCTCTTTCTCCTTTTCTATTTAACTTTTTTATAGATTTGATTATGGAGACAGCCCTATCCTCCCGCGAGGAAAGTGGCATCGATTCACTCTCAGGTGGCAAACTGTCTGATCTAGAGTATGCAGACGACATTGTGCTACCAAATGAAGATCGAGGTAAGTTACACGCTTTTTTGGACAGCTTGAATGCCAGTTTAGCCATGTTCGGAATGCGTTTTGCACCTTCAAAGTGTAAAATGTTACCACAAGACTGGGTCGGTCCAGCACCCAGCCTCACTCTAACTGGAGAAGTAATAGAGCAAGTGGATAAGTTTTGTCATTTGGGCAGCTAAATCTCACTTGGTGGACACATCACGGATGAAGTGTCAGCCGGCATACAGAAGGCTCGGTTGGCATTTGCCAACTTGAGACATCTGTGGCGACATCCGGTTGTCTGTGAAGGGTCGAGTGTATGTCGCGGCAGTTCTGCTATATGGCGCAGAAACTTGGCCATTAAGAAAATCAGGATAAAGAGAGTGTCGGTGTTTGAACACCGCTGTTTACGTCGCATTGCACGAATCTGGTGGGGTAGCCGGATGAGCAATGCTGAGGTTAGGCGCAGAGTTTTAGGTAAATGCGGTGGCCCACTGGAGCAAGTGGCTGACTTCCATTGATTACGTTGGTTGGGGCGTGTGTTACGCATGTCACCAGATAGGTTGCCACGGCAAGCGATGTTCGCCGGGGCAAGTAGTGAGTGGAAGAAAGTGAAGGGTGGCTAACCTAAGACCTGGCACGAGGGTATGAAAACCCTAACCAGGAAACTGTGTCTAATAGGTCCTATTAGGCTCCCTGGCTGGGGACCTCGGGATAATCGTACCCGATGATTAGAAGCACTGAATGATATGGCTGGGTGTCGTAAACAGTGGCATTCTTGCATCTTCTCAATTTCTTTGCAAACTTCGACCACTGAACTTCTCCATTTTATGTTCGACTCCAATTTCAACTTTCTTTTCTTCTCCCATTCTTCATCCCAGTGGGCAGCCAAAAGACAGCAACCAAAACCGGCGTACGAATATGCATGGTTAATGGTTGTACAAACAAAAAAATGAACTGTCTGCGCCAACTCGGAAAAAAATGAAATCGGTGACTGATAATTGGGTGCAAAGAGGAGAAGGAGTAGATATAGAACAAAAGGGCCACTAAGTCAAAGACTATAACTTTGTCCCGTCGTGAACTTTTTGATATATTTTTGTTTTGTGACCGGTTGTCTTTGATGGGGCACGAAATTCGAGCAAGCAGACTGTAAAACATTCGCTCCACTGGTTTCTTTTCCGAGCGCTTTATCTCTCGATTCCCCTAACCATCGACAATTCTCGTCCCTTCCACCCTACTCTGAAAGGCAGTCTGACCGACCGCAACCATTTCTGTAGTTTATTTCTCCCTACCCGAACAGCAGGTGGCGGTCTGATTGTCGCGTTGCTTCTTCTACTCTTGCCCAACACGTGCACCCAGAGCACGGGCAATTGGATAGTGGCCGGGCATATGCCAACCACGACCGATAAATTGGAAGCCGTCTAAAGCTATTTATTTTAGAGAAGTATCATCAGTCCCCAACACGATGTACACGCTTCCTCAGAGGGTAAATCGGATGTCCTGGTGACAGATGTTACGGCTCAGTGGAAACCACTATAGCGTTCACTAATCGTGGTGTGATCTCTACAACACCAACTGC